AAACACAGTGTCAGAAAAGTGACTTCAAGCACAAGAGGGGGTAAATTATGGTGTTTAAAATTCACGATTAAATTTAAGTTCGTGTTTTTTAAGAAATAAATTGTGTTAGTATTCTTTAAGATTAGAGTAAAATTACCAGTAGAAAATAAAACGGTTAATTAAATTGAAAAAATAAAAATATAAGGGTTTAAGATATTATGCTAGTGATCTATCCAGGTTCGACCAAACGTTGGTCTGCTTCTGTCTCCAAGAGACTTTCTTGAGATTTTGACTATAATATTTAGCTTTTACAAGTTATGCATATGAACCTTGATACAAGCAGATCTAGAGATTTTATAAAGACTTATCCCCAACCAAAATGAAAGCTTTTAGGCTGAGCTAACAAACCGATAAGAGATTCTAAGCTAATCTTAATAACCAAACATAGTTTTTTCGGCAAAGTTCTAGAACCAAACAAAGATTATAAGACCGATTTATTTTAAGAATCAAACTTGATTTTCCAAGAATACCAGACTCTTAAGAATAATAACAACAACACGACACCAAAAAATTTCTTCCCACAAATAGCTCAAATGCACTAAGGAAATTTATGTGAAAGAAAAATATTTTTAGATAGATAAATTTCAAAGAAAAATAAAGCTTTGGAGATTTGGTGTTAAATTAGAAGGAGAGACGCCTCCTTTATATAAGAGATGATAAAATTAAAAAAGGAAATGATCCAAGATTTTAATGGCCCAATTGTTGGCTTAAGGTCCTAATCAATTGGGTGACCTAAATAATTGATTATATTGGCCCATTTTAGAAAGTTTGGATAAATAGTCATTATCAATCATTAAGACATTGTCATGATCAGGTATATAATCAATTTAACTTCTTAAAATCGAGTAATCAATTTGACTTCTTCAAATCGATTGGCTTATTATCCCAATCGATTGAGTAGTTCAATAAATGCTTCAAAAAAGTTGATAGTTTCCTGATCAGTGGTTTGGCCTTGAAAATATTTTTAAGAGTTTTGATAGTTAAAACGAGATTCAAATTAACTTTTAAGGGTTTATGTGTATGTGTGTGAGATTTTTCTTATTATCTTATGAGTTACTCTTCTACTTTCACAAAACGTTGGCCACTCAGACAGACACGACCAAACAAGATTTCACACTTCCTCTTCTTTACATCTTTGAGGGTTTCAAGATCTTTTGCTAGATACATCTATCATATAATTACTTCATTGAATCTTGAGTTTCCTACTAGACGAGGCTTGATATGTCTCCAAGTTTGGTCACCATCATCAGAGAGTTAGAAATCTATTACCACCAACTTCATCATTCATTGGTATTGTCGTCATTAAAACATTAGGGAGGTTCTCAACAGGATCATCAACTTTCTACCCGCAAGCACATATATCCTCATATAGTCTCTCTTAGAGAGCAAAGGAGGCAAATAATACTTCACGGCCAAGTAACTTCAAGGTTAAGCAACTAGCCTCGCTTAGTGCAGTGCCAAAACTTGCTTAGTGAGGTAAGTTGATTCATGACTTCAACACAAAGTTAATTAAAGGTGAAGGAAGGATTTGTGCGCTAGGCAAGTATGAGAGGGGATATTAGCAAGCTAATGCGGAAAAGGCATGTTTTAGATGAGATGATCTTTCTTAACTAAGAAGAAATTAGGTGCACTAAGCGCATATGAGAGGCGCACTTAGCGATCATACCAGACAAGACCCTATAAATAGGGATGCCATTTAGTTTAAACTAATTGTGTCAGTGTATTTGAGGTAGTTCAGATAAAGTTAGGTACCCCAAACAAGTTTTTTTTCACTATTAACACTGCAAATTTAATCTATTTTTTGTTACTTTAATTTCACGAACAAACAACTTTAAACAAATCATTCTTAGAATTATATAAATTATTGAACAATCATTGAAACACAAGTCGTCGTGGATACGATAATTTACACTTACTTTTGTAGTACAATAGCTACACAAGGAAACAACCAGTTGGAATTGATTCTGAATTCCTTTGTGCAAGAAACAAAAAAATTAATTTCAAGCTCAATGAGTGAGTATCAAGAATTTGGAAACTTATATGGTGAATATTTATATTTCCTTAAGTTCAAGAAACATTGGAGCACTTCCTAACTCCACTGAATCACCTGCATATACCTCTGGTACCAAGAACATTGAAACCTGTAAGACCATCATCACTTTTAGAAGTGATAAAGAATATGAAGAACCCACTCAAAATGCTCAAGATCATAATGAAGAAGGTAAGACAAAGAGTCCCCTGATATATCAAGAGAGGAGAAGTATATAACAGATAAAAAGTCTCCCTTTGTTGAGAAAGTAAATGAAGAAGGATTACAATCTATACAAAACTATTTGATGACTTCTGACACAACATATGCTAGTGCAAATGTGTCTCACGACATTACAAAAGCCATCACAATAATAATATTTGTGCAAGAAATACCACCATCATCTTTTCCTCAAAGAAATAGAAATGCCAATGAAGAGCAATAGTTTGGTAAGTTTATGGAGATATTGAAGTGACTTCAAATTAAACTATCATTGATTAAAACCATACAACAAGTTCCAAATTATTATAAGTTCATGAAAGACGTGTTGAAAAAAATAAAATGAGTTGGAGAGTTTTCCATTATGGAATTAGCTCAATAATATAGCCAGTTTATTCAAGGGAAGTTTCCTCCAAAGTTAAAAGACCCGAGAAGCTTCCCCATCCTTTGCAACACAGTAGAAACATTATATGGAAAAGCTTTGTGTGATTTAAGGGAAATAATTAATCTCACCCTCTTATACATTGTTAAAAAGTTTGGAATCGGAGCTACAAAACCCACAACCATCTCACTATAGAACATAAGTTTCAACTCTTGGCACTTTTGGGAAAGCATAAGAGAGTCATTTCTTGGCAAATGTATGACATTAAGGGGATCAACCCCACTATTTACATGCATAGAATACTAATGGAAGGCAATGTTAATAACAATATAAAGAGCCAAAGAAGGTTGGATCCCATCTTGAAGTAAGTTGTGAAGTAAGATATTATTAAACGGTTGGATGTTGGGATCATTTATCATATTTTTGATAGTGTTTGAGTGAGTCATATACAATGTGTAGCAAAGAAGGATGATATAAGAATGGTTGAGAGTGGAAAAAATAATTAATATCCACTTGAGTTCTCATTGGATGGAGGATATACATGGATTATAGGAAGTTGAACAAAGCAACCATAAAAGATCATTTCCTTTACCTTTCATTGATCAATTGTTAGATAGGTTGGCTAGAAACGAGTAATATTTCTTTCTAGATGGCTATTCAAGCTACAATCAAATTTCCATAATCCCATAAAGATCAAGAGAATACTATTTTACGTGTCCTTATGATACCTTTGCCTTTAAAAGAATGTCATTTGGCCTATGTAATATACAAACCACTTTTCAAAGACACGTGATGGTCATATCTTATGACCTTATCAAGTATTCCATGGAAGTTTTCATGAATGACTTCTCTATTTTTTGTGAATCATTTAAAAAATGTTTAGACAATTTAGATTTGGTGCTAAGAAGATGTGAAAAAAGCAATTTAGTGTTGAATTGAGAAAATTTCCACTTCACGGTGAAAAAGGCATAATATTATGACATTGTATTTCAAAGAAAGGATTGTAAGTAGATCAATCCAATATTGAAGCCATTGAGAAGCCGTCACCACCTACTAATATCAAGGGAATCAAAATTTTCCTTGATCATGTTGGTTTTTATAAAAGGTTCATTAAAGATTTCTCAAGGATCACAAAACCTTTGTGTTAAATCTGCAACAAGACGTATCATATCTCTTTAGTAAGAAGTGTATGCAAACTTTCAAAACTTTAAAGATGACATCGATTTCTGCTCACATTGTCAAAACATCCCTTGTTCAAGTTACATATAATTAACTAATCATTTGAACGAGTTCATATCTATATAACGAATTCAGGTTCATATAAGTGACTCGTCATAAGAACGAGTTCAGGTCTATATGACTAACATGATCTAATGTTAAAATCAGATTCAAATTATATACCACTTGACCTAACTCGTCATTTGAACAATCTAGGGGTGATAATACTTAATGTTAAATGTATATTATTATTTATACTTTAAAATCACGAGTATTTTAGTTTAGTTCATATGTTAAATTATAATATTTTATACTATTATAGTTGGTAAGTCTATATTTTAATTTTATTTATTATAAATAAATATTTTTAATTTTGAAATAGTTTTTAATTAAAATAAATAAGAACTAAAAGTAAATTTCCCAAAAACTAAATTTAAAAACTCATAGTTTTATTGAAATAAAAAACTATACTTGACCATAATATTTTTGTCATGGTAATTGTGCCATATATATCCCTTTCTTTCATGTCATTGAGTGAGTTTGTGATTTATTTGTCACTCCATTAACAACTTAGTTCATTCTGCTGAAACAATTTATAAGTATTTATATTCGGAACGAACATCTCAACAAGCGTCTGGGTGGTGTAATCGGTTGTCATGTTAGTCTCACACACTAAGTTCCCCAGAACGAACCAACCCAGGCTCAGATATTTTAATTTTTCAGTGTGTATATTTGAGGGGTGGGGTGAGTGATGAATAAAGAGACTGTTTGTGACCATTAATCTAGAATGTTACTAGTAACTAAAAAAAAAACTAGATCCATAACAACTGCACCAGGTACAAATTAGTGTATAGTACACTCAGATTTTATATTTACATGATTATGGTTTTATACACTACATTAGAAAAATATACTCCTAAAGCACTATTGATGTATCTGAGGCAATTTCCTTAAGAAATTGTCAAGCTGGTGCAAGTGTAGCACAATTATCATCGTGATTAATTACATGATATAATTCTAAACCAAAACTTATGTGACTAAACAGATACCACATACAGATCCACCTCATAAGCAAAAGTTGAACAAGATATTCTCAGCAAAATTCTCTTCCATTTAGGAGGTAGGCCGGCCATTTGGTGAATGTTCTTTAGACTGGTAGTTTTGCTTTGCAGCGAGGTGTGCATGAATTACACTTTCGGTTGCAATTGCTTCTTGGATGTCATTCTGGGCCTTTTGGCAGAGATCATTAAGCGCAAGCATTGGAAATGGATCCTCTATAAGAACTCCAACCTACAACAATCATTTTCACATTTTTCGATTAGCTTTCTTCTATCCAGAAATTGGAGTTGCATTTTAAGAATCCATCTATCAATCATTTCTGTATGAGTTCAGAATAGCAAATATGTTTTTACAATGAAAATTTGATTCCATAGTTTGGACTGAGATAAGGTGAGGGACATACTTCTTCAATGCAGAACAAAGAGGCAGCACTGATAAAGGTAGCAGGAACCACAATCCAGTGACATTCATCCCAAAGTATGATAGGTAGAGTCAGATGCCATAGGACAAGAAACCTTGAAGTCAAGCGTGTATATGATAACGGAATAGGAATACCCTTAAGCTGTTCGCATAAGCCAATTCCTTCATGGAAACAAGTGATCTTTGATTCCTGTACCGCAGTTAGGGAAAATGTTTTGCAAACAATAATTAATTGCGTGAATTTTTATACCAAAGTTTGGATCTAACATTTTTCACCTGATTACCAAGGAAACACGTGTATTTACACTAAGCAATAAAGGTTTTATTTTCGAAAACGATGTTATCTAAATTCAATATGTAGTTCTGTACTAAAATGCAACATATTCAACAAGTGTGCTTACCAGGATATTTCTTCTAGAATCCTCCAATTTTAGTAGCCGAATGCTTTGCGATATAAACTCAATAACACAGCGGGGTCGATGATTCGATTTCATGATCAATGCTATATCATCTACTTCTAGCAAATGTTGAAGATCTCTCTCAATGTCTGAACCATACAACACATAACACTGCATTCAAATTATTCAAAGGGTGAGTTTCACCCATCAGCTACAACTACCAACTAACGGGACAGAGTATCAAAGCTCATAAGTAATGCAATATTTAGTTCCAAAAACACTTGTATAATGATAATGGAAATAAATGAATGAAAAAGGAGAAAGAGTATGAGAATAAGTACCTTAAGAACAAGAGGAAAAGCAATAATATAATTCAAAAGGCCATTCTTGAGGTCATACTCAGATTGAGTCCCTGTATCAACAACAGCCATAACAAGCCTGGCGAAATCATTGGCAGCCGCAATAACCGAAGTCCAAGCCTTCTTCCCTTCCACAAACCTACTATAAGAAGCCTCCGTCCGAAAAACCAGCAACAGCGCAAGCGCGGGCGCAGTAAGCTGATACGGCAGCGAAGAAGCTCTAAAGACAGGAAAAAACTCGGGCAACAACTGGAAGTAGACGGCGGAGTTATACGTGGCAATAGCAGCTGCGAAGGAGGTGAAGAAGAGAACGGGGGGAACAAGAGAGAGGATGACACGTGAGGAGAGACTAGAGAAAAAGTGACGCACGTGACGGAGGGAGGAACGGTGTTGGACCCAGTCTGTGTGGTTGTAGAGGGTTCGGTTTTTTTGCATTCCGCGTTCTTGGGTTTGGTCGGCCCAGTCGGGGATTGTGCGTAGGATTGAGAATAGGGTTTTGGTTGGTGAGGAGAAGCATGTTAGGATGGGGAGTTTGAAGGGTTTGGGAGATGGGAGAAACGGGAGGGTTAGGTGATAAGGGCATTTTGGGGTGAATTGGGAAGTTAGGTTTGGTTTTGTGGGTGGTTTGAGGTGGTTATTGGGATGGTACATTGAGATGGAGAATGGAGGAGGATGAAGAAAGCATGAGAATGTTAATGGTGAAGAAAGAGTGTGAGTTGGTTAAAATTTGGTTGGTGTGGTTGGAGTGTTACTTATTTTTTAAAATCTTACACGTTTCAGATATTTTAGAGAGAATATTTTAAAGCATCTCACAATTGCTTGTCGCTTGTCAGTGAAGCGTGTTTTTACACGTTTCGGATATGCTTCATAAATTTCACCCGAACCAAAAAGAAGAAAATATATGGGAAAAATACTTCATAGCCGGTATCATGAAATAAAGAAAATGAATATAAAAAAGTCATGTACCATCCACATCCACATAATACCATTTAAATGTGTCTCTCTGACTCTAATACTCTTTTGGTATTAAATGAGTTTTAAAATGTGCCAAAATACATTCAGTTGTCCGTAGACAATGCTCTCGGGAGCTTTCTGGAAAGGGGATTTCAGAATGATTTGTATGTATCTAAACTTCTGCATGCACCACTCCAATAAATACTTGTACATGATATTAGTCTAACATGTCAATCATCTGGAGTATAATAAAATGTGGTCGAATGGAATTCTATCTTGATGAATAGTGTATGGCATCCAGACGATGTCATCATGCGGAGTCCGATCAATATACACACAAAGCGGCACCACAACATCATTCTATCATATCCCAATCTTTGACTTAAGATCCCACCCTCCATTTGCATCATTGCATAACAAGTGTTCACGAGTGGTTTGACCTATTTTTTTTGCCAATTCTTGAGTTAGATTTCAAAAATTTACAACTTCTTCAAATTTCGATATTTTTGAACGGTTCTTTTTGCATATGATTCTCCTTGATATCATCTACAATTTCTCTTTATAAGTCAAGAGTTGATTATGCTTTGAAAAGCCATGAAAAAATAGAAATGTGATAACCCGAAAATGTATCGAATATTTGGATCATTTTACATGAATTTTATCCGTATTTTAATTAATTAAATTACTCTTTATTCGTATTATGCTGGTATTTTCTATGTTTTCAGGAATTTAATGTTTGCAAGGCATGTGCGAAGAAAGTCAAGAGAAGCCAAGCTATTCAAGAGCAATTATGCATTGAGGGGTGTGTGGTAGAATAAGGTACACTAAAAGCAAAAAACCTGAGAGAGAAGCGTTGTCCCAATCCACTAAGGAAGTGTAACGACCGTTACACATTGACCCAAAAGAGTGTAACGACCGTTATACTCTACCACGCAAGCCTCTCCTCAAAAGCAGGAGTGTAACGACCGTTACACCATGTCACGCCAGTCCTCCCTCAAAAGAAGGAGTGTAACGACCGCTACACTAAGTCAATTCCGGAGGAGAAAACATCTCAACTCCCGCGCGTCCCCAAGGCTATAAATAATACCTCAAATCTCCATTTTAGAGACGTTTTTCTTTTCCTTGTTTTTACTGTTACTCTGTCAAAAATATTCTCCGCATTATTTCGTTCCGCATTATTTTCTTTACCGGTCTGTGGGAGACATCTGATATCCGGCAAATATTATGTTGTAATATTTTCAAGTTTAATTTAAGTACTTTATTTGTTTATGTCAGGATTGTCTGTAATGTTTTATTTATTTAAATTGTTTGACGATAATTATTTATGTTGCATTGTTACTGAATCGTTTAATATGCTAGCCTAAATTTATTTATCGGTATGTAAGGCCATATAGCCAACAGAGTTTTAGCAACGCCAATTGATCAGTTCCTTTTAAAGAAAGAATAATTTTCTAGTTTCAATTACTAGTTTTAAATATTAACTATTTTGTTGCGAGAGTAAAATACAAATAGAGGTTAGGATCAATAAAACGAGAGTTTGAGATAATAACTGGACAGTAGTAATTGTGCATCAACTTAAAATACAGCGAGAGCACTTTTAAGTTGATTAGGTTTTGTTTGTTTCCAAAAACTATTTTTAAACCCTAATTGAAACAGCGAGAGCACTCACTTAGGTTTGATCGTAGGATCTGAATCAATAAACACGAGAGTGTGAGAAGAGAGTTTTCAAACAAATGCTTCCTACCCGTTGTACCCAAATTTTTGCCCCTAAGATCCCCTTACCATACCATATTGATTCAATCACAACAAGATCACATTAGGACTTTTGGTTCTCCTTCCTATCTTTAGCTTTGCTCTTTGAGGAATCACCAAGCACCTTAACTTGTTTTTCTTGTGTAATTATTCATGTTTTTGTTTTGACTTTCCTTTTAATCAATAAAATGCAATGTTGGTTTGTCCTACTTGTCAACAATGCAGATAAAGGCAATGAGGCTTAGCAAGTTGATCCATGAGTTCATGAGTTTATTTCCATGACCTAGTCAATGAAGCTTGATAAGTTCAAACTCATCATTGAAGTTATGTTGGAAGAAATGGCATGGCAAGGTTTATCTTGATTCACCACATTTAAAATTTATCAAGATTTATTCAAAAGTACAAGGGGTTGATTGAAGAAGTTGTCATGGTTGGACAAGGTTTGATCCCATTGGTCACAAGTGCATATTTCTCTCAATTCTCAAGATATGGAAGTGGTTTTGATTTCTATGAGTTCTCATTATCATCCTCAACAACTTCTATTTACAAAGCAAAAGTGTTGGTACAAGAAGGTTGTTCAAAATTGTCAAAGTTCCTCAAAGCATGTTCCTTAATCTAAGAGCTAGGGTTTTGAACTTCAAAGGAGTATATCTTGCTCATCTTTTAGTATTTTTGAGTGATTCCAAAGGCATCCTTATCTTCAAAGGGTTATAAAAAAATAACTTCAAAAGTTTCAAGGAGTTTTCATGTGGAAGAAACTTGATGACGAAGAAAGATTACAAGTCCTCCAGATGAATCCCCAATTTTCCATGTGTGACTTCAAATGATCATAACTTGGTCAATTTTTATCACCTTGAGACCATTATTTTTCCACAATGATCTTGAAGATGTGAACTTTATACCTTCTTTTATGTGCAAAGTCAGAAAATGAATGGAAATTGCCTTAAGGATACAAAAGATTATAGGTCATTTCATGATTTTTTTTCCACTTAAACAATTCACAACTCTCTCAATTTTTGGATATTGTGAATGGACCAAGTTTCAAAATGTCATTCAAGAGATCTACTTCATGCCATCTTTTTTGGTCAAGAGCAAATTCCAAGTGGAAGGCTATGTTTCGATGCAAGACATTATAGGTCACTTTTGAAGAAGAATTTGAAATATTTCTAAGTATGGAAAGTCAACATTTTTCTCCAACTTTGACTCAACACAACTTTCAGCTCAATCATCCATTTTATTCCATTCTTTTTCCATTGCAAAGCTTATAACCTCATCTTTCTGAAGCATCAAGAATCATTCCCTAAGACCCCTTGAGCTGAAAATGCCATTGGTCAGAAGTTGGCACTTTGAAACTGAAATTTTCACCAAATCAGAAGTTTGAAATATTTATTTTGACTTCTAATCACAAGATTTACACACGTTTTTTATTTAAACATGATTAACAAACTTTCTAGAAGTGTTTAGCACCTCAAAACGCAAGGATTGGATGAGTTTTGGTGAAAATTAGATCACACTTCACTCGTGCATCAGGTTTGCACGAATTCTCTCCAAAATGCATCATTCACTCTTCCTTTTGATCCCATTTGTTTCTCCTATAAATACATGAACTATCCCATTCATTTTCTCAAGCTTGGATAGCCAAAATCACCCTGCCAAACTTGTTCCATAACTCAGAATTCAGCAACTTCGTAATCCATATACAAGCCTTTTTCAATCTAATTTTTTCATTAATTCGCCTTCCTTGATCTTCCCTGAAGCTAACCATATAATTACATTCAAGAATCGTGCCCTATATTGCTCCATAGAAGTCCAGTTTCAGAGTTCTGCATCTCAACTTCAATAGGGAGATTCCTTCACCAGTTCTTTAAAACTTTGATATCATTGTGATGCTCTCATTGCCCTGGTTCTAGTCGCAACACTTGCTTTTTACTAGAAACACGTTTTGACCATGAAATTTCAAATCCCTTTTCAAAACTTTCTTTCCAAATTGCTTGAGCTACAATTTATATAAATTTGGCGCGAGGGTGTGGTTGTCTTCGTCTTGAAGAGACGAAGCGAATGGCATAGGTCTGAGCTTCTGATTTTACAGTTTGAGAGACTTGCAATTCACGTTGGCTGGAGGTTAAAGATGACCAACGTGTCATCTTCCAACTAATGATGGCACGCCACTTGTTATTTTTGAATTCTGATTTAATAATTGATTCAGTGCTTTATTCACTAATGACCATGATATGCACAGCGTGCCAGATCCCTTGGATTTGATTACTAACGCGTTTTGACTCTCATCCAATGGTCCACATATTTTTGAATTTTCTTTTCTTTTCTGATTTTTTATATTAAATTGTTTTAAACTTCAAAAAATCATAGAAAATTCATTTTATGTCCAAAAAATCTGAAAAAATCATGAAAAATATTTTTGATTATTCTCTTTCTGATTTCTATTTTTTCACAATTTAATTTTTTGTTTTGTATTTTTTATAAATTTACACTTTATTTGATTTGTTTTAAATGTTTAAAAATACTTTTATGCATTTTTAAACTCTGAAAAAATTATGGAATGATTCAATGATATTGTGACAAATATTAGTAACCTTATTTTATTTTTGTTTCTGACTTTGCTATTTTTTTTTATCATTTTTGGTTTATTTTACCCCTTTCTTTTAATTTTAAAAATAGTTTCTGACTTAAAAAATTTTCCAAAAAATTTATAAAATTATTTTAGTTCATTTCTGATTTTTCTATAGTCTTACTTTTTATTTCTTGATTAATTTGGATATAGTTGATATTTTTCTCTTTTATTTCTATTTTTAAACCTTTTCGTATATATTAAAATATAATATTATTTTGTGATTATTTTCTGGCTGATCTTGGATTAAATTTTTGATCATGAACTTTATTAACATCATTGGATCCATGGTGTTGAGTCTAACTCCATAAAAATGGAT